ACCGGTAACGATTGTTTGAATCGGTCCTGGGTCTCCGCCAGGTCGATTCAGCCTCAAATGAGTACCTGGTACAGTGTGTAGTAAACATCACCACTGGGGAGACAAAGGCGGCCGGGCGTGGTGTTGGCCACCCACCCCCTCGTGTGCCTTCATAGGCGCTCGCTAACAACACTTGCCCCCAACAGTCTGTTTAGGCTATACGGCGGAGGGGAGGGGGGTCTTTATTGTAAGTGGTGGTTGCCTTGATGGAGATGTTACTGGAAATGTTACTGGAGATGTTACTGGAGATGTTACTGGAGGTGATGTTGGAGGTGGGTGTTGGAGGTGGGTGTTGGTGGAAATGGTGCTGCAGTTGGTGGAGGTGTTGAACGAGGGTAGTGTCGGAGGTGTTGGTGGAGATGATGTTCAAGGTAGTGGCGGTGTTGGTTGCTGGAGGTGAATGAGATGGTGATGATGCTGCTGCTGCTACTGCGTGGTGGACTTACCGTGTTGTAGTCGAGGAGCACGGTGGAGGAGAGGTTGGCACTCTGGATGTAGAAGGTGGCGATGTTCTCCTTCGGATTCACCTGCACCGTCTGCTGCTCAACTTTGCCGTCATTATTATTCACGGAGAACTGGTAGAGCTGCACACACACACACGTACTCATGTAAGCATGAATATACACACACACAAAATACAAATCAGTGTTCTTCAATAATTTTCAGAGGTGGGGGGGGGGGGGGGGTCACTTTGGCCGATAAGACATCATCAGTGTGAGGGCTGCCACACATTTGAAACCATTGTTGGGTTTCTGACAGCACGATGGTGATGATGATGGGGTGGTGTTTTCACTCTTAGGCGGGGGCCACACTGGCGGCCATCAGTGGCCGACAGTGGCTCACGGGACTTGCAAGGAAGAACGCCGATCTACACCAACTGCCATGGCTGCCGCCACTCTTCAGCATCCTCCTATCGAACATCTTGCGAGATGCTGCCGTACTCTTGAGTGTACAATTACATCATGGCTGAGCCAGACTTACCGCTACATCAACATGTGAAATTGCCACTTCCCAGTAGCCTCGAGTCTAGGAGTCTAGGAAACGTTTTTGAAGCCACGCGTCCATTCTTGTTTTTTATATCAGCCATTTAAGCTGGCGGTGAAATATTTGATAAGCCCGTGATATCTCCAACAGGATTTAAATGAAGATCCAATAATTGAATCATCAAAGTGAGATCACTCCCAAACCGGAGCCGGTTGTAAGCATGCACGCTATCCACACACGGAAATTCTAAAACTCCGTCGACAAAGACCCCGTATAGCCTTTAACAGACCCTTGAGGCAAGTCCTGTTAGTGAGCAGCTATGAAGGCCAACAACTCACGCATCGAACAAAGACGGTCACTGCATCGCACGCTTTTAGATTCGCTTCTGTGGCCGTGTGGAACGCTCTTCCTTCCGATATTAGGAAACCACTTAAAAATTGTCAAGATTGAATACTCATTACTTTAGAACTGCTTTTTGTGTTTAGTTTGTTGTCCTTCCCCCGCACCTCCGATTAGCACGGTTGGATACGTACGGTGCGAAAGAAGTTCAACATACATATACGCACAAAAACGATAAAGATCCCCTGTATAGCCTGTAGCAGACTGTTGGGGCAAGTGCTGTTAGCGAGCACCTATTAAGGCCGGCATGGCACACGAGTGGGTGGCCAACACCACACCCGGCCGCCTTTGTCTCACTCGTGGCGATGCTTACACGTCGTTCCAGGTACTCATTTGAGGCTAAGTCGACCTCGGGGAGGCCCAGAGACCGGTTCAAACAATCGTCACGGTGGTGTTGGGCCATGAGCGGGAATCAAACCCGGGTCGCCGGGTTTGTAGCGCTGCGCGCTACCCGCTACACTACCACACGCGCAGACACCTCTGTTGCGTTCTTGCCCCCAATGAAGACCCCCAGTAGCACGGCCGTCACCACCACCACGATCAGCAGCAGCAGCGTCGCGGAGATGACGATGAACTTGCGGCTGAACCTGGACGACTGAAACAATCACAACGCAAATTGAAAAATATTTTTTTATTTTACCAGGCAAAGCCCATTGAAATATGCAGATTTTTTTTCAGAATACGCCACATATTCTAAACGCGTGATGTTCATTCTAAACGTGGAGGGGAAAAACGGAGGACCCGAAGAACTATCCACGCGACCACGGGGAGAGAATATGCAAACTACAAACATACAGCAGGCGTCAGGGTCGGGATCGAACCCACGACCTCCTGTATATCAGGCGAGGTAGTTAACATCTCGCCACCGTGACGCCCAAAAGACATGACCACCACCCCACCGATACAGCAATAATCACCACCACTGACAACAACACAGCACACGTGATAATTACCAACACACTGACACATCACAGCACGTGATAATTACCAACACACTGACACAGCACAGCACGTGATAATTACCAACACACTGACACAGCGCATCACACAGACACTACAACTGAAACGTACGAGCGAAAACTTAACGACAACAACAATAAGTGCATCTTATTAATGGCTGTGGGGATCCGAGATGTCTGTGGTTGTCGTCTGGCTCGCGGGTCTCACTGAAGAGATGTCGCTACCCAGGACGTGATCTTTGTCCATGATGCTGAAGGGGCTCTCAGTGGCTGTCAGTGACCCCCTCTCTCTGTGTGTGCGTGCTGCTCCTGGTGAGACCAGGTCCCGGTAGGTCTCCTTATATACACAAGGCCATGGCTGGGGGGGATAGGGAGCCCTTTTGATGGGCTGACTTGCATTTCTGACAAATAAGTTTAAATGTGGGTGCGATGTTCCAAACAATGCACATTTATTTCTATAGAATCTCGTGGTTAATCTCGAATGTCAAAAGCAAATGGTCCTGAAATTTACGGTGCTTTGAGAATCTGTCAAAACAGACACGCGATAACTGCGTGTTCGTGATGTCGTGTTAACTCAACATTTGCATTTGTCTCTACGTAGTTTCGCTTAATTTTTTTCGCGACACACGGAGATATGCGTTCTAAGCTTTTGAAACACGCCTCCCTCTCTCTCTCTCGAGAGAGAGAGAGAGCGATGCTTTTCAGTAAACATTGCAATATCAACTCATGAATGGCAAAAACAAAGAATTACATTTCAAGTTACTTGGGTGGTGTTTGGTTTCGCCGATTTGGAGCAAATAAAAATCTACACTTTACCGGGTTAAACCAGTATTCGGGAATGGTTAATCAGAACCGAACCAAACCAGAACTGTGCCTGAAATAGACGGGAGGCAATGGGCTGGTGCTGACGAGGCCTTTGTGCTGGGCTTGGCTTGTATGGGGTCATTAATTAATTCACGTTAGGTGTCCTTATCGTGACCCTTACGCGTGCATTAAGGGTGAACTAGGCCCCAATGAATCTCCAACAGAGTTGAAAGCGGGTGATAGCTAGTCGTGGAGTAAAACTCACAGTGACGTGTAGTTTGTAAGTTTAATGAGGAATGCAAAGCAGGTTTTGGTAAATGCCACGGTGTTGTTAGAGGTTGGATTGAGTATCAGCTTAGCCTAGGAGAGCCGTAAAGGGAGTAAGTATCGTGTTTTCAGTGTAGAATATGAGAAATAATTTGTTTCCATACATCGTCTGCATCTACATTCAAATTGTATTCTCGACGTGAGATCAGAATCGAGCAAGGTGCCAAGATTCGACTATGAAGAAACACGTTTTTTTACATATATTTTTGTACTGCTGACAAAGGGCTTCGATCTGCAGCAGATTTGAGACTCGTGCAAGTGTCACGTTTCGTCTTCTTTGTGCAGTGGCATAGCGCTGGCTGCAACCGAGGGGATCTGCGGTGCACGGCAGTGCTGAAGTCAGCAGGCCACGAAAGACACGAGAGGGGGGCATCTAAAGGGGACAGGTCACAGACGGGGGGGGGGGGGGGCATCGGGAAGCCTCTGCAACCCGCCCAGTAGGTTCCAGAGAGGGGCTGAGCGAGGCCGCGCTGGGGGTCTAAGAGGGGCCCCTGTGGGGGACCTCGTGGCTGCTGCTGGAAGTGGGATCCCCGTCGCCATCGTCGCTGTCGCAGTCACTCGATATTGCGCTGCTAGATAGTTGTTGTTGGCTGTCCCGGTTCAGCACCGTCAGTGTTCGACGGTTAGGGGTCGTCCATAAATGACGTCACGCACCTATTGGGGGGTGGGGGGGGTCAGACATTTGTGACGATGTGTGACGAGGGTGGGGGGGGGGGGTTGAGAAATGTGACGTCACATCAAAATGCGCAACTTTAAATAAATGTAGACAACACGTTCTACTTAATTAAATATACTTTTTTTAAATAAGTGTTTTTTCCTACAACATCAGAGTGCAGCGCCACATTAAATTCGCACTACAATCACAATAGTTTAAAGCGATTTGAAGCATCTTTTATATATTTTTATGGGGGGGGGGGGGCGGCAGAGCTTTGTGACGTCATATTTGAGGGGGGTCTGACTTTTTGTGACGCCGTGTGACGAAGGGGGGGGGGTCAAAAATCGTCAAAAATCGCGTGACGTCATTTATGGACTGCCCCTAAGTGTTGTGTATAGGCGAGCGACTGTATTATGTGTGTACCCACGTAGGGTTGTGTGTATTATCCCGATGGTCCTCGTTAAATAAGTGCCTCCAAGTCTTGTCGTCTCCGAGTTAGTCACTACATTTGTATTCAGATGGAGTTTCAAAGATATTTGAAACTCCATCTGAATACAGATGGAGTTTCAAATATCTTTGTTTAGTGGTGAGAGAGTCACCTTGTAATTTTAGATTGTGCGTTTCTAATAGAGATCCTCTATATAGATGGCGACGACGACGATGATATTATCGGCACAAAGTTGAATTCTACAATGAGTTTCATTTTCACTTGTTGCTGATAGCGACAAATCGCGAGGCCTGGAACAATTCGCGGATTGACATCGGACCCAGGCAGGGAGGGGCCAGAAGCAAAAACTCGAAATCATCACGACGGGATCGTACATTGTGGGGAGGGAGTGCGAGGGGGGTGTTGGACTCGCTACCCCAACCCACTGGGAGACCCACGTGTAGGGGCGTCAAGTTCCAGAATGAGCTTTGATGCCACACTGTCGATATGGGTTGAAGATGGGACATGGCCAATTCCACAGAATCCCGTAGACACCCTTTGAACGAGTGGAGTAAAAGGCAGAGGTAAGGTTGACCGACTTCACGCGTTGCGCGCTACCGTCTAAATAATATAATGAACAAACCCAATATGTTGTTGCGTTTGCACCAAATACAGGAATCGAGGAAACCTGCTCAGTAAACTTGCAACGTTGGGCAAATGTTGTTTGACGTTGGACCGTTGGCCAAACGTTGGCCTCGACGTTGTGTATAGTTCCTGGTTGGTTCAGAGGATGTGAGGATCACCGGCATCAAATGCCTTGGGAATTTTTTCTTTGAAGACCGTGGAGCACACATTTCCCGCGCCTCTGATTAGCATGGTTGGCTACGTACGGTGCGAAAGAAGTTCAACATAGTACATACGTTCACTGTTCGTGAAGCAGTGATGGTGCTAAGCTTAGGTCCAAAGCCAGATTGGTTGTTGTGTTCATTTTCCATAACGTTCTAAATGGTTGACCAGCTGTTTCTGAACACGTTTTGAACCCCCCCCCCCCCCGCCCATTATACAAAGGACGGACACGTGCCGATTTTCAATCAATGGGTATTGTTGGAACTTACTGACAAATTAAACCAACGATATATTCGGGATGCGAGTTGAGCATTGGCACCTATTTTTAGGAACATTATTGCGGTTGTGAGAATTTTGTAAGAAATGTTTCTACTCCCCTAAGTTCAAATGCTCTAAAGTCAAATCGAGGGGTGGGAATTTGACAGCCAGTATCCAATGAGCAGAATGAGGCTTGATCGATCGAATGCTGGTGACACTGCCAGAGGCTATGAAGTTTGCTCATATAGAACCAATGTTGCTGAAACTATGTCCAGAAGAGATATGAAAAGTTTGGAATCGGGCGAAGACTTTGAGCTAAGCGTGTACATGCCTGTGCCTGTATGTGTGTGGGGAGTGGTAGTGTAGCAGTTAGCGTGCTGCGCTATCAATTCGGCGACCCGGGTTCAATTCCCGCTCACGGCCAATGCCAGTGACGATTATCTGAACCGGTCCTGGGCCTCCCCTAGGTCGACTCAGCCTCAAATGAGTAACTGGTGCGGTGTGTAAACATTGCCACTGGGGAGACAAAGGCGGACGGGTGTGGTGCTGGCCACCCACCCCCTCGTGTACCTTTCCAGCCTTCGTAGGTGCTCGCTAACAGCACTTTCCCCTAAAATCTGTTAAAGCTATAGGGGGATCTTTGTCTTTTGTGTGGGCAGTGTGCTCATGACCGGCTCCGGTTTGACAGCAGAGGTCTCACTTCGAATCAGTCGAGCGGCAATATCTTTTCATCGGTAGCGTCGCGCTGTGTGGAAGCTACCTGGTCTGTTGCTCCGCACGAAGCTTCAGGTCTTCTCGGCCACGGTCATTCCCTTCCTTCTCTACGCTTGCGAAACGTGGACCCCCCTAATGGAACATCTTCGCCGGTTATAAAACATTTAGTCTGGCCTGCCTACGATCAATCCTGGGTTTAACCAGGCTGGATTGTGTGAGGAGCTCACAAATCCTTGAAAGATCTGGACAAATTCCCATCCTCCGTCAGGCAAGGCTGCGTTGGCTGGGTCATGTAGCCCGCATGCCCAGCCACCGCATGCCTAAACAGCTTTTATTCGGCCGGATCGAGGGGGCTAAACGGGCGTGGCACGGGCTAGAGAAGAGATGGAGTGATGTGGTACAGGAGGACGTGGAGCTGAGTGAACTTGCAGATGACCGGTACCAGCGGTGTCAAGATCGGCCTCTGTGGAGAAGGCTCGTGAAGGACGCTGCTACTGGGCAGTTGGAGGCAGTCGCCCTCCATCAACAACGGAGGGCTGAGGAGCGACGCTCACAACAACGAGCGGAGCACCGGGTGGCTAAAGCATAGCAAGTTGACACAGTAGGGGGCACAGGTGGTGTATCGGCTAGTCATCTCAGTCAGTCGACCCGTGGCACCTGGGTATGTCCCGTGACCTCCTGCCAGCGGGCGTTCGACACTTCACGTGGCCTCAAGGTGCACATGGCCTGGTACAAGCGTCGTGATGACGTAACCGCCATTCCGTGGCGAATGGCGGTTGTTGTTGTGTGTGGGGAGCGGTAGTGTAGCGGTTAGCATACCGCGCTATGAACCTGGCGAACCAGGTTCGATTCCTGCTCACGGCCACCACCAGTGACGATTTTATGAACCAGTCCTTGGCAACCCTTAGGTAGACTCAACCTCAAATGAGTACCTGGTGTGGTGTGTAAACGTCACCAATGGGGAGACAAAGGCGGTCGGGCGAGGTTCTGGCCACCCACCCGCTCATACGCCGTGCCGGCTTTCATAGGTGTTCACGAACAGCACTTGCCCCAATAGTCTGTTAAGGCTATACCGGGAATCTTTGTCATTGTACAGCATGTTATCCAATAATCCAACACTTGTGCTGCATTTAGCAACTTCATTGCCACGTTAACATTTCGCAGTGGCATTCGTGAAAATATTTTGGATTTGCAAATGTGCTTTGAACGTTTCTCGTTGAACAAGATCTCAACTTTGTGCGAAAATACCCTATATTTATCATTAATAGAGCTGGAATTTCACCAACTTTAGTGCAGAACCCGACATTTTACATTTGTGTGTGTATGTGCGCAGATAATGATGACCAGGTTGAGACCATTAACTCACTGCTACACATGAGAACCTGATTAAATCGCAACTTTCTGGAACAAGGATGAGCAGCGAGTATGTCAGCAGTGCCAGCTCAGCATTCGAACCTCTGAGCCACCGGGCCACCAACTGTGACACGACTCAACACGGCTATCACCAACATCATGTAATCTTTCGCACAATCCGTCTAGCACGTGTGGCTACGTGCGGTACGAAAAGTTCCAACATACATACGTTCACCTTGTTTATATTCATAGAGCGCCTTTACTCAAGGCGCCTAACGTAGTTTAAACAACGGTAACATCGGTAACATCAAGTAATTATTTAGATGGCAAGGGAGTGCAAGGGCTGAGCAATTAGTGACCGCGATAGAGTGGTGCCTAGGGGGTCACAGAAGGGCTATAGGGGAGGAATGTGAAGGAGTGTGGGGAGCGAGGGGACGGAAGAGGAAGACTACAGGGCCGGATTAAATTGGGTTGGCCCCTGGGTTAAAGGCACTGAGAGGGCCCCCAGTAATATTTTCAAAAGGAAAACAAAGTGAAAGAAACATAAAATGTATTCCTACAAGGCTAACAAATAAAATTCAACATTCACAAAATGAAATAACTTTTCACTTCAATCTCTGGAGGCCCTCCAGCCGACGGAGGCCCCTGGGCTGTAGCCCCTAAAGCCCCCCGTGCCTTGATCCGGCCCTGGAAGCGAATGGTCTGGATGGTCTCCCACAAAGCCGTCGGCCACCTCTTGCGATCCCACAATGGTTAGACGAGCCGATTCGCGATTCCCACCGCTCCATCTTCTCCGGTGGACGTCCTGACGGGACGCGTTCCATTCCCGGGGCTCTGGGGGCCCACACTTGCCGTCGTTATTCTCGACCGCGGGCTAACGCCGTGCAGAGCAGCAGCAGCAGCAGCAGAACTCCGCAGTGGCGGTTGTCCCCCCCCCCCCACCCACCTAAGCAATGACTGCCACAAACAGTGAATGGTGCCGTTTTAAAGACCATGCCATTCTCATTTACGAGCCAATAACCCTGAATGCCACGCGGGGTCACTTTCAATTTGCAAGTCAGTTTGTTTCGGAGCGCGCGAGTCAAATGATGCCAGGCCGTGCTACCTAAGGCCGGTTTTTTTGCGGCCCACAATAAACACCGGTTACTGGCAATAAAGAAGCGGACGAGAAGAAGGTTGGGAGTGGCTTTTGGAAAGATCGTCCTGATAATGAAAAATAACTACGCGCCTAAAAGACGAACATTTAAAATACAAAAAAATCGGCGTACTGCCTGTCACATAACGTGCGGTGTGGAAACATGGCCATCCACAACACCAGCAGTAACACGGAGTGGGACACAAACTGAATAAAGAATGCAAAAGAAGTATTGGGGAGATGCGTAGCTTGTGATGACACTACAGAGGAACGGGGAGAAGACCACGCGGATGAGTGTCCAGCTATCGGTGGCTTGAGTTCAGCGTTTTGGCATTCATTGTGGTGGAGTGTGACTTGGGAAAAATCGGCCCCCGGGAGAGCCCGCACGCGGCTACGATTTATTATGACGATTATTGGCGTGTGCTCTGTTTTGCCGAGCCAACGAACGGCATCACCGTCAGCACGGCCAAGCGCCAGGTCAGTCCGCCGTCAGAACCGTGTCAGTGGACGGCCGCTCACAATGTGCGACATCGTCTGCGGTGCTCCACAGCTGCAGGTTGGGTCAGTAGGCTGACCTCCATCGGACGAGGTTGACCGCGCAGCGACCTTGTCCCGTCCGGAATCGGTTCAGCCTGATTAATGACCGTGACGTTATTTATCAAGGACCACCGTCTCGTATTCACCGCATGCTTTCCCGGCTCTTGGTTCGGCAGCTCCACTGCTGGATTTTTTGTTTTTCCGCCTGAGGACGACCGCTTGTGTTGCGATCGAAACGTCGTGATTTTTTTATTTGATTTTTCTACCTTACGTGACTTTACCGAAAGAACCAAAGAGGTTATGGATTCCTGCAGTCACGAAAGCTTCAAATAAATATTGAGTTTCTTACCAAATCCCCCCCACTCCGCTACCCACCCCAAAAATGGCTTTTCTTGTTATTTAGATTCCCCACGCCTGGTTTAAGGTAACAGAGCAAATCGCGTTGCCGACCGCAGCATTCCTCGCACATTGGAGTCGAGGAGTCCCGTCCAAGCTCTACAACACGAGGTCACATATCTTGCAGACGCTTCGTCGTCGCTGCTGGGGGTGGGAGTCAGGGTTCAAGGCGCGATGTTGCATCACGCACGCAGGTCAATAACGCCGCTCAAGTCGCCGTTGGGGAAGCTTCGCGTTCCTTCCCCCTCCATCGCTGCTGACAATGTGTCCAGGGGGTCAGGTGGCTGACGGAGGCCCCCCAGTCCCGGTGGCTGTGACGGTGAAAACATTCACGGTGGCGCGTCT